TGTGGTGAGTGGTGGTGGAGTGGGAGTGGTGTTTTGGGGAGGTGAGTTGGTTTGTTGTTTTTACTTGGTGAGTTGTGTTTAGGAGGCGGAGGAGGTTGCGGTGGTTATTTGTTGTTGGTTTTAGTAGGAGGGTTTGTGAAATGGATTAATTATTAAAGATTTATTTTGTTGCTGGAAGGCTGGGATAAGGTGAGACAAGTGGAAAGCGGGGATTAGGAGATATTTAGTCGAAGGAGTGGAGGTATGTGAGTGGTGGGCGTGGGTGGTGAGTAGGAAAGAGCGTGCGTTGTGTTAAGGAGAAGGGGGGATTAGGTGTTTTTTTGTTTTTAGGAGTTGGGTCAAAGGGTGTGTTTGAGTGGTGGGCGTGGGTAGCGAGTAGAAATGAGTGCGAGCTGTGTTAGGGAGATGGGGGAGGATAAGGTGTTGGTTATTTATAAGAGTTGAGTGTTGTTGTTGGTTTTAAGGATTTAGGGGTTTAGTGATTAATTCGGTGAGAGTGATGTATGTGAATAAGGATGAAAGGATAACGTGATAATTACCGATGATGGAGTTTCCTTGGCTGGCTATCAGGCAATGCTCTGTGCTGGCTTGGGAAGTGTTGCTCGCTTGGCCAAGACTCGATTATTTACAGACCGCTGTCCTATAGCTGGAATATTGCTAGGTTCGGCGTTAAACAACAAACAAACAAACGATGAGAGTGATTTTAAGAGTATGTGAATAAGGCTGAAAGGATAACGTGATAATTACCGATGATGGATTTCTCCTTGGCTGGCTATCAGGCAATGCTCTGTGCTGGCTTGGGAGGTGTTGCTCGCTTGGAGTACAAACTGCAACTGCAGTCCGTGCAAAACATTTATACTGACCCTTAGTATAAACATAGTAGTGGAGATTTATAGATCAAAGAGAGCATTTTCGAAGCCAGTGGCGAGATCAAAGCTACACTGCAACTTCATTAGGCTTTGATCCGAAAGGAATCTCACTGTCCACTTGAGAAACCAATCAACTTCTTGTCAAAACAAGTTTCCGTATAAAGGGAGAGGTCTGAGAAGAGTTCAACCAATCTAGTCCTGTTATCTCCAGGGATTATCAATCATTGTTAATTGATTAAATCGGGATTGATCAAACGGCGCAGTACGTTGTGATACTTAAAAATCCGATGTGGTTACTTTCGCATCCACAGAAACCAAGTCACAGAAACTTCTATCAGCTTGGAAATCGTGTGATGCTTCTCTGAACGTTTAGTTTCAATTAAAAAACCCGAGAAAACCATGTCCACAATCCTAAGAAATCCTTACTCTGGTAGGCAAAGGCAAAGTGAATAAATGTACAGTCAAATCTTGAACTTATTGTACACATCTGTTTGAGGTCGTAAATGCTATGATAATCTGACCATTTTCCCAACCCGTCTTACATGATCGAAATACAGCACGTATGTTTTGAAGCATTTCAAATACTATTTTTTATGAATACCATCATCATGGTATAATTGAAGCAGCTCATGTATCTGGATATTAACCATCTTAGAAGCTTTTGGATGGACGTCGGCTACTTAAAAGGTTACTATATAAATAAATAAATAGGCATGTACAATAAAGTTTATGTGTGTTAAATGATCTAGAGACATCATCTTCAGTGTATAACTGTCATGTTTTTGGGAGAATTACAAAGCACGGTGTCATGATTTATATCTTTGAATACAGAATGCTGTTAAAGCACATGATGGAAATTGGAGTATGTTGCTAGATAAACATAAGCACGTTGTTAGCATTGTTTTTGAAAGATGCCCACTGTTTCATGTCAGGATATTCTGATCTTTACTTTTTAGTGCCTTTCAGGGGAATAGTATTCATCAAGTGCTGACTTGGATCAGAAATGTTATTTGGCCTGTGTTGATGTCAATGTTTCAATTTCCTTTTGTTTTCCATGCTGTCTACATTGACAATTTTTAACATGCATGACTCTCTCCTTAAGCACTTGGGCATGTACATTTCAAAAGGAAAGAGAAACAATTAAATGCTCTGATAATATGAAATACAACCTGACATATATATCTCGCAGATCAATATCATATGGGGTTGTGGTTCGTCTGTCTAAATCCTTTTGCTGTAGGATCGGCATGGATACGGAAAACGAATTGCAACGTTCCAAACTGTATTTAATGTTATGGTGCAACCATTACATTGGAATCTCTTCTTCTCCATCATACCTAATGTCCAAATGTGTTTCATTTCAATTGATCTTATATTCAATAGTCTGTATCTTTTTCCTATTTCAAAGAATAGATTAAGGACGATATCTGCGAATGATTGCCATACTCAGAACCAAGGAAAATGATCGAAGGCTTGGTATTGTGAGATACCATCTCAAATTAACCTTTTCTCTCTCTCACAAACTTTCTATACGAATGATGTCTTCAAGATGTCGTGAGCGTGTCAGCAAATGATCAAGATTATAATATCGACTTCATTATTTATTTCCTCAGCATATTCATCAACAAACAAATGTGGTTTACAATATAATAGGATGCCCTTTGCACACTGTCAGGCAACATTTGTGTACAATAACAAAAAATGAATAACAAGGTAAATGCAGCACTAGTTGATGTGGATGGGACTTGTGATTTCCCTTAGGCGTTTCTATGAAGTGCACTGTCGTCTACAGACAAAGCTCGACTGAGAGTCGTCATATCGTAGCTGCTGTCGTTGCTGTATAGGTCTCCCTGGTCTTCGTCGTCCTCACTATATGAGCTGTCGGACAAGAGTTCCGCGAAGGAAGCTTCATCATCATTGAAAGAGGTATCTGCATTCCAGTCCGCCTCCGAATCACTCTCTGCAGAAGCATCTTTGGTGATGGCGTTTACACAGGCTTGCACCTCTTGCCACTTGAGTTGTCTGTAGATGGTAAACATCTCCTTGACACCTTCCAGCACCCATCGTCTCTGGATCAGCTGTTCACCTCGGATTATGCAGTTGTTGGAGGAGTTGGCTGTCATCTTCCGCATCAGATGGTAGACTTGGGTATCTGAAAACAATAAAACGGGTAATTAGAAATCTCGCTAAATGTGTTCACAACAATGTCATTTTATTTTGTTCAATTCTAAAATTCAGTGTGATACCAATATTGCCATGTTTGCAGGGGACTGAAAAAGAGCACAGTTCATATTTACCTAATGTCAGGATCTCTTTCACTGCATTGTCGTGGGCAATAAGGAGACGTCTCAGCTTGATGGCAACTTGAACTGGATCCATTTTCTAGGGCCTTCGGACACAACACTAGAATGCAGTCGGATGAAATACTACAGGAATTCAGTAGCGCCAAATTTGGATAATTGGAAAGTAGATGTGTTCGTTTTCACGGATTGAGATGAAGTGAAGGACTCCAGTCCGTGCAAAACATTTATACTGACCCTTAGTATAAACATAGTAGTGGAGATTTATAGATCAAAGAGAGCATTTTCGAAGCCAGTGGCGAGATCAAAGCTACACTGCAACTTCATTAGGCTTTGATCCGAAAGGAATCTCACTGTCCACTTGAGAAACCAATCAACTTCTTGTCAAAACAAGTTTCCGTATAAAGGGAGAGGTCTGAGAAGAGTTCAACCAATCTAGTCCTGTTATCTCCAGGGATTATCAATCATTGTTAATTGATTAAATCGGGATTGATCAAACGGCGCAGTACGTTGTGATACTTAAAAATCCGATGTGGTTACTTTCGCATCCACAGAAACCAAGTCACAGAAACTTCTATCAGCTTGGAAATCGTGTGATGCTTCTCTGAACGTTTAGTTTCAATTAAAAAACCCGAGAAAACCATGTCCACAATCCTAAGAAATCCTTACTCTGGTAGGCAAAGGCAAAGTGAATAAATGTACAGTCAAATCTTGAACTTATTGTACACATCTGTTTGAGGTCGTAAATGCTATGATAATCTGACCATTTTCCCAACCCGTCTTACATGATCGAAATACAGCACGTATGTTTTGAAGCATTTCAAATACTATTTTTTATGAATACCATCATCATGGTATAATTGAAGCAGCTCATGTATCTGGATATTAACCATCTTAGAAGCTTTTGGATGGACGTCGGCTACTTAAAAGGTTACTATATAAATAAATAAATAGGCATGTACAATAAAGTTTATGTGTGTTAAATGATCTAGAGACATCATCTTCAGTGTATAACTGTCATGTTTTTGGGAGAATTACAAAGCACGGTGTCATGATTTATATCTTTGAATACAGAATGCTGTTAAAGCACATGATGGAAATTGGAGTATGTTGCTAGATAAACATAAGCACGTTGTTAGCATTGTTTTTGAAAGATGCCCACTGTTTCATGTCAGGATATTCTGATCTTTACTTTTTAGTGCCTTTCAGGGGAATAGTATTCATCAAGTGCTGACTTGGATCAGAAATGTTATTTGGCCTGTGTTGATGTCAATGTTTCAATTTCCTTTTGTTTTCCATGCTGTCTACATTGACAATTTTTAACATGCATGACTCTCTCCTTAAGCACTTGGGCATGTACATTTCAAAAGGAAAGAGAAACAATTAAATGCTCTGATAATATGAAATACAACCTGACATATATATCTCGCAGATCAATATCATATGGGGTTGTGGTTCGTCTGTCTAAATCCTTTTGCTATAGGATCGGAATGGATACGGAAAACGAATTGCAACGTTCCAAACTGTATTTAATGTTATGGTGCAACCATTACATTGGAATCTCTTCTTCTCCATCATACCTAATGTCCAAATGTGTTTCATTTCAATTGATCTTATATTCAATAGTCTGTATCTTTTTCCTATTTCAAAGAATAGATTAAGGACGATATCTGCGAATGATTGCCATACTCAGAACCAAGGAAAATGATCGAAGGCTTGGTATTGTGAGATACCATCTCAAATTAACCTTTTCTCTCTCTCACAAACTTTCTATACGAATGATGTCTTCAAGATGTCGTGAGCGTGTCAGCAAATGATCAATATTATAATATCGACTTCATTATTTATTTCCTCAGCATATTCATCAACAAACAAATGTGGTTTACAATATAATAGGATGCCCTTTGCACACTGTCAGGCAACATTTGTGTACAATAACAAAAAATGAATAACAAGGTAAATGCAGCACTAGTTGATGTGGATGGGACTTGTGATTTCCCTTAGGCGTTTCTATGAAGTGCACTGTCGTCTACAGACAAAGCTCGACTGAGAGTCGTCATATCGTAGCTGCTGTCGTTGCTGTATAGGTCTCCCTGGTCTTCGTCGTCCTCACTATATGAGCTGTCGGACAAGAGTTCCGTGAAGGAAGCTTCATCATCATTGAAAGAGGTATCTGCATTCCAGTCCGCCTCCGAATCACTCTCTGCAGAAGCATCTTTGGTGATGGCGTTTACACAGGCTTGCACCTCTTGCCACTTGAGTTGTCTGTAGATGGTAAACATCTCCTTGACACCTTCCAGCACCCATCGTCTCTGGATCAGCTGTTCACCTCGGATTATGCAGTTGTTGGAGGAGTTGGCTGTCATCTTCCGCATCAGATGGTAGACTTGGGTATCTGAAAACAATAAAACGGGTAATTAGAAATCTCGCTAAATGTGTTCACAAAAATGTCATTTTATTTTGTTCAATTCTAAAATTCAGTGTGATACCAATATTGCCATGTTTGCAGGGGACTGAAAAAGAGCACAGTTCATATTTACCTAATGTCAGGATCTCTTTCACTGCATTGTCGTGGGCAATAAGGAGACGTCTCAGCTTGATGGCAACTTGAACTGGATCCATTTTCTAGGGCCTTCGGACACAACACTAGAATGCAGTCGGATGAAATACTACAGGAATTCAGTAGCGCCAAATTTGGATAATTGGAAAGTAGATGTGTTCGTTCTCACGGATTGAGATGAAGTGAAGGACTCCAGTCCGCGCAAAACATTTATACTGACCCTTAGTATAAACATAGTAGTGGAGATTTATAGATCAAAGAGAGCATTTTCGAAGCCAGTGGCGAGATCAAAGCTACACTGCAACTTCATTAGGCTTTGATCCGAAAGGAATCTCACTGTCCACTTGAGAAACCAATCAACTTCTTGTCAAAACAAGTTTCCGTATAAAGGGAGAGGTCTGAGAAGAGTTCAACCAATCTAGTCCTGTTATCTCCAGAGATTATCAATCATTGTTAATTGATTAAATCGGGATTGATCAAACGGCGCAGTACGTTGTGTTACTTAAAAATCCGATGTGGTTACTTTCGCATCCACAGAAACCAAGTCACAGAAACTTCTATCAGCTTGGAAATCGTGTGATGCTTCTCTGAACGTTTAGTTTCAATTAAAAAACCCGAGAAAACCATGTCCACAATCCTAAGAAATCCTTACTCTGGTAGGCAAAGGCAAAGTGAATAAATGTACAGTCAAATCTTGAACTTATTGTACACATCTGTTTGAGGTCGTAAATGCTATGATAATCTGACCATTTTCCCAACCCGTCTTACATGATCGAAATACAGCACGTATGTTTTGAAGCATTTCAAATACTATTTTTTATGAATACCATCATCATGGTATAATTGAAGCAGCTCATTTGGCTTAAGTATCTGGATATTAACCATCTTAGAAGCTTTTGGGTGGACGTCGGCTACTTAAAAGGTTACTATATAAATAAATAAATAGGCATGTACAATAAAGTTTATGTGTGTTAAATGATCTAGAGACATCATCTTCAGTGTATAACTGTCATGTTTTTGGGAGAATTACAAAGCACGGTGTCATGATTTATATCTTTGAATACAGAATGCTGTTAAAGCACATAATGGAAATTGGAGTATGTTGCTAGATAAACATAAGCACGTTGTTAGCATTGTTTTTGAAAGATGCCCACTGTTTCATGTCAGGATATTCTGATCTTTACTTTTTAGTGCCTTTCAGGGGAATAGTATTCATCAAGTGCTGACTTGGATCAGAAATGTTATTTGGCCTGTGTTGATGTCAATGTTTCAATTTCCTTTTGTTTTCCATGCTGTGTACATTGACAATTTTTAACATGCATGACTCTCTCCTTAAGCACTTGGGCATGTACATTTCAAAAGGAAAGAGAAACAATTAAATGCTCTGATAATATGAAATACAACATGACATATATATCTCGCAGATCAATATCATATGGGGTTGTGGTTCGTCTGTCTAAATCCTTTTGCTATAGGATCGGCATGGATACGGAAAACGAATTGCAACGTTCCAAACTGTATTTAATGTTATGGTGCAACCATTACATTGGAATCTCTTCTTCTCCATCATACCTAATGTCCAAATGTGTTTCATTTCAATTGATCTTATATTCAATAGTCTGTATCTTTTTCCTATTTCAAAGAATAGATTAAGGACGATATCTGCGAATGATTGCCATACTCAGAACCAAGTAAAATGATCGAAGGCTTGGTATTGTGAGATACCATCTCAAATTAACCTTTTCTCTCTCTCACAAACTTTCTATACGAATGATGTCTTCAAGATGTCGTGAGCGTGTCAGCAAATGATCAAGATTATAATATCGACTTCATTATTTATTTCCTCAGCATATTCATCAACAAACAAATGTGGTTTACAATATAATAGGATGCCCTTTGCACACTGTCAGGCAACATTTGTGTACAATAACAAAAAATGAATAACAAGGTAAATGCAGCACTAGTTGATGTGGATGGGACTTGTGATTTCCCTTAGGCGTTTCTATAAAGTGCACTGTCGTCTACAGACAAAGCTCGACTGAGAGTCGTCATATCGTAGCTGCTGTCGTTGCTGTATAGGTCCCCCTGGTCTTCGTCGTCCTCACTATATGAGCTGTCGGACAAGAGTTCCGTGAAGGAAGCTTCATCGTCATTGAAAGAGGTATCTGCATTCCAGTCCGCCTCCGAATCACTCTCTGCAGAAGCATCTTTGGTGATGGCGTTTACACAGGCTTGCACCTCTTGCCACTTGAGTTGTCTGTAGATGGTAAACATCTCCTTGACACCTTCCAGCACCCATCGTCTCTGGATCAGCTGTTCACCTCGGATTATGCAGTTGTTGGAGGAGTTGGCTGTCATCTTCCGCATCAGATGGTAGACTTGGGTATCTGAAAACAATAAAACGGGTAATTAGAAATCTCGCTAAATGTGTTCACAACAATGTCATTTTATTTTGTCCAATTCTAAAATTCAGTGTGATACCAATATTGCCATGTTTGCAGGGGACTGAAAAGAGCACAGTTCATATTTACCTAATGTCAGGATCTCTTTCACTGCATTGTCGTGGGCAATAAGGAGACGTCTCAGCTTGATGGCAACTTGAACTGGATCCATTTTCTAGGGCCTTCGGACACAACACTAGAATGCAGTCGGATGAAATACTACAGGAATTCAGTAGCGCCAAATTTAGATAATTGGAAAGTAGATGTGTTCGTTTTCACGGATTGAGATGAAGTGAAGGACTCCAGTCCGTGCAAAACATTTATACTGACCCTTAGTATAAACATAGTAGTGGAGATTTATAGATCAAAGAGAGCATTTTCGAAGCCAGTGGCGAGATCAAAGCTACACTGCAACTTCATTAGGCTTTGATCCGAAAGGAATCTCACTGTCCACTTGAGAAACCAATCAACTTCTTGTCAAAACAAGTTTCCGTATAAAGGGAGAGGTCTGAGAAGAGTTCAACCAATCTAGTCCTGTTATCTCCAGGGATTATCAATCATTGTTAATTGATTAAATCGGGATTGATCAAACGGCGCAGTACGTTGTGATACTTAAAAATCCGATGTGGTTACTTTCGCATCCACAGAAACCAAGTCACAGAAACTTCTATCAGCTTGGAAATCGTGTGATGCTTCTCTGAACGTTTAGTTTCAATTAAAAAACCCGAGAAAACCATGTCCACAATCCTAAGAAATCCTTACTCTGGTAGGCAAAGGCAAAGTGAATAAATGTACAGTCAAATCTTGAACTTATTGTACACATCTGTTTGAGGTCGTAAATGCTATGATAATCTGACCATTTTCCCAACCCGTCTTACATGATCGAAATACAGCACGTATGTTTTGAAGCATTTCAAATACTATTTTTTATGAATACCATCATCATGGTATAATTGAAGCAGCTCATTTGGCTTAAGTATCTGGATATTAACCATCTTAGAAGCTTTTGGGTGGACGTCGGCTACTTAAAAGGTTACTATATAAATAAATAAATAGGCATGTACAATAAAGTTTATGTGTGTTAAATGATCTAGAGACATCATCTTCAGTGTATAACTGTCATGTTTTTGGGAGAATTACAAAGCACGGTGTCATGATTTATATCTTTGAATACAGAATGCTGTTAAAGCACATGATGGAAATTGGAGTATGTTGCTAGATAAACATAAGCACGTTGTTAGCATTGTTTTTGAAAGATGCCCACTGTTTCATGTCAGGATATTCTGATCTTTACTTTTTAGTGCCTTTCAGGGGAATAGTATTCATCAAGTGCTGACTTGGATCAGAAATGTTATTTGGCCTGTGTTGATGTCAATGTTTCAATTTCCTTTTGTTTTCCATGCTGTGTACATTGACAATTTTTAACATGCATGACTCTCTCCTTAAGCACTTGGGCATGTACATTTCAAAAGGAAAGAGAAACAATTAAATGCTCTGATAATATGAAATACAACATGACATATATATCTCGCAGATCAATATCATATGGGGTTGTGGTTCGTCTGTCTAAATCCTTTTGCTATAGGATCGGAATGGATACGGAAAACGAATTGCAACGTTCCAAACTGTATTAAATGTTATGGTGCAACCATTACATTGGAATCTCTTCTTCTCCATCATACCTAATGTCCAAATGTGTTTCATTTCAATTGATCTTATATTCAATAGTCTGTATCTTTTTCCTATTTCAAAGAATAGATTAAGGACGATATCTGCGAATGATTGCCATACTCAGAACCAAGTAAAATGATCGAAGGCTTGGTATTGTGAGATACCATCTCAAATTAACCTTTTCTCTCTCTCACAAACTTTCTATACGAATGATGTCTTCAAGATGTCGTGAGCGTGTCAGCAAATGATCAAGATTATAATATCGACTTCATTATTTATTTCCTCAGCATATTCATCAACAAACAAATGTGGTTTACAATATAATAGGATGCCCTTTGCACACTGTCAGGCAACATTTGTGTACAATAACAAAAAATGAATAACAAGGGAAATGCAGCACTAGTTGATGTGGATGGGACTTGTGATTTCCCTTAGGCGTTTCTATGAAGTGCACTGTCGTCTACAGACAAAGCTCGACTGAGAGTCGTCATATCGTAGCTGCTGTCGTTGCTGTATAGGTCTCCCTGGTCTTCGTCGTCCTCACTATATGAGCTGTCGGACAAGAGTTCCGTGAAGGAAGCTTCATCATCATTGAAAGAGGTATCTGCATTCCAGTCCGCCTCCGAATCACTCTCTGCAGCAGCATCTTTGGTGATGGCGTTTACACAGGCTTGCACCTCTTGCCACTTGAGTTGTCTGTAGATGGTAAACATCTCCTTGACACCTTCCAGCACCCATCGTCTCTGGATCAGCTGTTCACCTCGGATTATGCAGTTGTTGGAGGAGTTGGCTGTCATCTTCCGCATCAGATGGTAGACTTGGGTATCTGAAAACAATAAAACGGGTAATTAGAAATCTCGCTAAATGTGTTCACAACAATGTCATTTTATTTTGTTCAATTCTAAAATTCAGTGTGATACCAATATTGCCATGTTTGCAGGGGACTGAAAAAGAGCACAGTTCATATTTACCTAATGTCAGGATCTCTTTCACTGCATTGTCGTGGGCAATAAGGAGACGTCTCAGCTTGATGGCAACTTGAACTGGATCCATTTTCTAGGGCCTTCGGACACAACACTAGAATGCAGTCGGATGAAATACTACAGGAATTCAGTAGCGCCAAATTTGGATAATTGGAAAGTAGATGTGTTCGTTCTCACGGATTGAGATGAAGTGAAGGACTCCAGTCCGTGCAAAATATTTATACTGACCCTTAGTATAAACATAGTAGTGGAGATTTATAGATCAAAGAGAGCATTTTCGAAGCCAGTGGCGAGATCAAAGCTACACTGCAACTTCATTAGGCTTTGATCCGAAAGGAATCTCACTGTCCACTTGAGAAACCAATCAACTTCTTGTCAAAACAAGTTTCCGTATAAAGGGAGAGGTCTGAGAAGAGTTCAACCAATCTAGTCCTGTTATCTCCAGAGATTATCAATCATTGTTAATTGATTAAATCGGGATTGATCAAACGGCGCAGTACGTTGTGATACTTAAAAATCCGATGTGGTTACTTTCGCATCCACAGAAACCAAGTCACAGAAACTTCTATCAGCTTGGAAATCGTGTGATGCTTCTCTGAACGTTTAGTTTCAATTAAAAAACCCGAGAAAACCATGTCCACAATCCTAAGAAATCCTTACTCTGGTAGGCAAAGGCAAAGTGAATAAATGTACAGTCAAATCTTGAACTTATTGTACACATCTGTTTGAGGTCGTAAATGCTATGATAATCTGACCATTTTCCCAACCCGTCTTACATGATCGAAATACAGCACGTATGTTTTGAAGCATTTCAAATACTATTTTTTATGAATACCATCATCATGGTATAATTGAAGCAGCTCATTTGGCTTAAGTATCTGGATATTAACCATCTTAGAAGCTTTTGGGTGGACGTCGGCTACTTAAAAGGTTACTATATAAATAAATAAATAGGCATGTACAATAAAGTTTATGTGTGTTAAATGATCTAGAGACATCATCTTCAGTGTATAACTGTCATGTTTTTGGGAGAATTACAAAGCACGGTGTCATGATTTATATCTTTGAATACAGAATGCTGTTAAAGCACATAATGGAAATTGGAGTATGTTGCTAGATAAACATAAGCACGTTGTTAGCATTGTTTTTGAAAGATGCCCACTGTTTCATGTCAGGATATTCTGATCTTTACTTTTTAGTGCCTTTCAGGGGAATAGTATTCATCAAGTGCTGACTTGGATCAGAAATGTTATTTGGCCTGTGTTGATGTCAATGTTTCAATTTCCTTTTGTTTTCCATGCTGTGTACATTGACAATTTTTAACATGCATGACTCTCTCCTTAAGCACTTGGGCATGTACATTTCAAAAGGAAAGAGAAACAATTAAATGCTCTGATAATATGAAATACAACCTGACATATATCTCTCTCAGATCAATATCATATGGGGTTGTGGTTCGTCTGTCTAAATCCTTTTGCTATAGGATCGGCATGGATACGGAAAACGAATTGCAACGTTCCAAACTGTATTTAATGTTATGGTGCAACCATTACATTGGAATCTCTTCTTCTCCATCATACCTAATGTCCAAATGTGTTTCATTTCAATTGATCTTATATTCAATAGTCTGTATCTTTTTCCTATTTCAAAGAATAGATTAAGGACGATATCTGCGAATGATTGCCATACTCAGAACCAAGTAAAATGATCGAAGGCTAGGTATTGTGAGATACCATCTCAAATTAACCTTTTCTCTCTCTCACAAACTTTCTATACGAATGATGTCTTCAAGATGTCGTGAGCGTGTCAGTAAATGATCAAGATTATAATATCGACTTCATTATTTATTTCCTCAGCATATTCATCAACAAACAAATGTGGTTTACAATATACTAGGATGCCCTTTGCACACTGTCAGGCAACATTTGTGTACAATAACAAAAAATGAATAACGAGGTAAATGCAGCACTAGTTGATGTGGATGGGACTTGTGATTTCCCTTAGGCGTTTCTATGAAGTGCACTGTCGTCTACAGACAAAGCTCGACTGAGAGTCGTCATATCGTAGCTGCTGTCGTTGCTGTATAGGTCTCCCTGGTATTCGTCGTCCTCACTATATGAGCTGTCGGACAAGAGTTCCGTGAAGGAAGCTTCATCATCATTGAAAGAGGTATCTGCATTCCAGTCCGCCTCCGAATCACTCTCTGCAGCAGCATCTTTGGTGATGGCGTTTACACAGGCTTGCACCTCTTGCCACTTGAGTTGTCTGTAGATGGTAAACATCTCCTTGACACCTTCCAGCACCCATCGTCTCTGGATCAGCTGTTCACCTCGGATTATGCAGTTGTTGGAGGAGTTGGCTGTCATCTTCCGCATCAGATGGTAGACTTGGGTATCTGAAAACAATAAAACGGGTAATTAGAAATCTCGCTAAATGTGTTCACAACAATGTCATTTTATTTTGTTCAATTCTAAAATTCAGTGTGATACCAATATTGCCATGTTTGCAGGGGACTGAAAAAGAGCACAGTTCATATTTACCTAATGTCAGGATCTCTTTCACTGCATTGTCGTGGGCAATAAGGAGACGTCTCAGCTTGATGGCAACTTGAACTGGATCCATTTTCTAGGGCCTTCGGACACAACACTAGAATGCAGTCGGATGAAATACTACAGGAATTCAGTAGCGCCAAATTTGGATAATTGGAAAGTAGATGTGTTCGTTCTCACGGATTGAGATGAAGTGAAGGACTCCAGTCCGTGCAAAATATTTATACTGACCCTTAGTATAAACATAGTAGTGGAGATTTATAGATCAAAGAGAGCATTTTCGAAGCCAGTGGCGAGATCAAAGCTACACTGCAACTTCATTAGGCTTTGATCCGAAAGGAATCTCACTGTCCACTTGAGAAACCAATCAACTTCTTGTCAAAACAAGTTTCCGTATAAAGGGAGAGGTCTGAGAAGAGTTCAACCAATCTAGTCCTGTTATCTCCAGAGATTATCAATCATTGTTAATTGATTAAATCGGGATTGATCAAACGGCGCAGTACGTTGTGATACTTAAAAATCCGATGTGGTTACTTTCGCATCCACAGAAACCAAGTCACAGAAACTTCTATCAGCTTGGAAATCGTGTGATGCTTCTCTGAACGTTTAGTTTCAATTAAAAAACCCGAGAAAACCATGTCCACAATCCTAAGAAATCCTTACTCTGGTAGGCAAAGGCAAAGTGAATAAATGTACAGTCAAATCTTGAACTTATTGTACACATCTGTTTGAGGTCGTAAATGCTATGATAATCTGACCATTTTCCCAACCCGTCTTACATGATCGAAATACAGCACGTATGTTTTGAAGCATTTCAAATACTATTTTTTATGAATACCATCATCATGGTATAATTGAAGCAGCTCATTTGGCTTAAGTATCTGGATATTAACCATCTTAGAAGCTTTTGGGTGGACGTCGGCTACTTAAAAGGTTACTATATAAATAAATAAATAGGCATGTACAATAAAGTTTATGTGTGTTAAATGATCTAGAGACATCATCTTCAGTGTATAACTGTCATGTTTTTGGGAGAATTACAAAGCACGGTGTCATGATTTATATCTTTGAATACAGAATGCTGTTAAAGCACATAATGGAAATTGGAGTATGTTGCTAGATAAACATAAGCACGTTGTTAGCATTGTTTTTGAAAGATGCCCACTGTTTCATGTCAGGATATTCTGATCTTTACTTTTTAGTGCCTTTCAGGGGAATAGTATTCATCAAGTGCTGACTTGGATCAGAAATGTTATTTGGCCTGTGTTGATGTCAATGTTTCAATTTCCTTTTGTTTTCCATGCTGTGTACATTGACAATTTTTAACATGCATGACTCTCTCCTTAAGCACTTGGGCATGTACATTTCAAAAGGAAAGAGAAACAATTAAATGCTCTGATAATATGAAATACAACCTGACATATATATCTCGCAGATCAATATCATATGGGGTTGTGGTTCGTCTGTCTAAATCCTTTTGCTATAGGATCGGCATGGATACGGAAAACGAATTGCAACGTTCCAAACTGTATTTAATGTTATGGTGCAACCATTACATTGGAATCTCTTCTTCTCCATCATACCTAATGTCCAAATGTGTTTCATTTCAATTGATCTTATATTCAATAGTCTGTATCTTTTTCCTATTTCAAAGAATAGATTAAGGACGATATCTGCGAATGATTGCCATACTCAGAACCAAGTAAAATGATCGAAGGCTTGGTATTGTGAGATACCATCTCAAATTAACCTTTTCTCTCTCTCACAAACTTTCTATACGAATGATGTCTTCAAGATGTCGTGAGCGTGTCAGCAAATGATCAAGATTATAATATCGACTTCATTATTTATTTCCTCAGCATATTCATCAACAAACAAATGTGGTTTACAATATAATAGGATGCCCTTTGCACACTGTCAGGCAACATTTGTGTACAATAACAAAAAATGAATAACAAGGTAAATGCAGCACTAGTTGATGTGGATGGGACTTGTGATTTCCCTTAGGCGTTTCTATGAAGTGCACTGTCGTCTACAGACAAAGCTCGACTGAGAGTCGTCATATCGTAGCTGCTGTCGTTGCTGTATAGGTCTCCCTGGTCTTCGTCGTCCTCACTATATGAGCTGTCGGACAAGAGTTCCGTGAAGGAAGCTTCATCATCATTGAAAGAGGTATCTGCATTCCAGTCCGCCTCCGAATCACTCTCTGCAGCAGCATCTTTGGTGATGGCGTTTACACAGGCTTGCACCTCTTGCCACTTGAGTTGTCTGTAGATGGTAAACATCTCCTTGACACCTTCCAGCACCCATCGTCTCTGGATCAGCTGTTCACCTCGGATTATGCAGTTGTTGGAGGAGTTGGCTGTCATCTTCCGCATCAGATGGTAGACTTGGGTATCTGAAAACAATAAAACGGGTAATTAGAAATCTCGCTAAATGTGTTCACAACAATGTCATTTTATTTTGTTCAATTCTAAAATTCAGTGTGATACCAATATTGCCATGTTTGCAGGGGACTGAAAAAGAGCACAGTTCATATTTACCTAATGTCAGGATCTCTTTCACTGCATTGTCGTGGGCAATAAGGAGACGTCTCAGCTTGATGGCAACTTGAACTGGATCCATTTTCTAGGGCCTTCGGACACAACACTAG